TATATATATATATATATATATCGAACGTAATTTTACTCTCCTAAAAACGAGAGAAGGTTATCAAGCACTCATGTAATAACAAGATGTCTCGTTCCCTAAGTAAATATTAGTATGCGTATACATTGTAAGAATGTTTTTGAATGTTAGACTCTTATTTGGAATTGAATTTATTCTATCATAGAAAATTCTCCGTTCCCTGTGCTAACATCGAGCTCTTAATAATTTCAAAACTGTTTTTTATTGTTGTACATGAACTGTAGCAAAAGAAAACTTTCTCAAAAACTCGAAGGTTATAATATTTGTCTGAGAAAAAAAACCGATCGAAAAGTCATAATGTAAATTTTAAATGTTCGTTTCCAACTTTCAACTTAAAATTATCAAATTTGTATAATATGTATTGGAATTTTTTATTGAGAAAAAAAAATTATGGAAAAGTTGAGATTATATATTAAAAATTATTATAGTTTGATATATAAATTACGAAAAGGATAATATATCACGCAAAAAGAAAAAAATTATCGGAAATAGTTAATTGGGAAGATGACGCCCGCACGGAATTTAAGAGATCCGAGTTCTCAATCCCGGCTAAGGTAATTTTTTTTCGCAACAACCCAGATAACACGCATGTACAAAAAGATGTAAGACATCTTAAAGACAAAAATATTAAAAATATTTTTAAAATATTTTTTTAAAGTCTTATAGGCGTCTAAAATTTTTAAAGAGACATCTTAATCTCATATCGATTTTGGACTTTTTTTAGTCTAAGCAATTCTCTATATTATCTGAGATAAATTTATTTAAAATACATATAAATGTACTATTCCAACATCCAACTTTGACGGTAACTGATGTTTCTCTTACTTAATTAAAAGTACCATTTAATTTTGTATTAGCTTTTATGTATAACATATAAACTTTTTTATGTATACCTAACGTATAGATTCTTCTAATTATTGATTTTTAATCATTTCTAGATTTCTTAAAATATTTAGGATACGTTATATCTTCACGTTAATAATTTGTTATCATAGATAATCGAGACGGACCGAATTTCCGAATAGAACAAAAAGCAAACCTCCCACCACCACATTTCTATTTCGCGTATGTCCATGCGATCCACGCGCGACAGATCGACGTGCATTTTTCACGATAGCCGATATTGCGGCCCGTTGAATTATGCATACACGGCGCAGATATCATTTCGATAGCTGGCACGGACGCTTGGCGTGAGCGATCTGTCACTGATGCTTAATGACCGGCATTAATTGGTTATTGTCAGTGCCTCCACCATCCTATGTTTCCGCGATATCGCGATGTACTCGACGCTCGTCTTTATCAAGAAGCAGAAAGAAATTGACTGTAAGATGATGAAATCATTTTAAATAAGTCTCCTCTTAGCATGAAAGCTTAATCCATTTTTTGAAAACGAAAAAGATATGCAATGATTGCGTCCAACGAACAATATAATTATTATAGTTATAATTTTCTACTCAACAATATAACTGTTAATTGGTATTGACTGGAGTGACGGCATCGTGTGCACATCGAATTCAACTATCGACAATCTCGATATAAAAATTTGTATTTTGTATTCGCATGTTATATTATACCCAGAAAAAGGTTTCTTCGATTTAAAGAAATGTTTCTTTGCTACGGTTAAAGAAAAAATTTCTTTGAACGTCATTTCTTTGATTTAAATATTATTTTTTTAAATCAAATTTATCTGATTTAAAGGAATTATGTTCAAATCAAAGAAATAACGTTCAAATCAAAGAAATTTTTCTTTAACCGTATAGCAAAGAAACATTTCTTTAAATCGAAGAAACCTTTCTCTGAATGTATGTCCATTTCGCCGATGTATTCTATAAGTTTTCCGCGCGGCGCACGTTCCTGAACATTTGAAATTTTTCACGACAAACTTTTATATTAATTTATTCTCACAAATTTATGCGTATTTTCGAGTATTGCAATAATGCAATGTATACACAAAGTGCATTTCTTAATAATTCCATGAATCGAAAGAATCCCAAGTGAGAGACATTGCGATAAATGATTGGTATATGTACTTCGATCAGTCATTTATAAAACTTAGTATTGCTTATTATATTGCGAGTGCATCTGCGTACATGCAGAAATATGAAATTGCATTTGTCATGAAACACAAATCCACCTTCCTAGATGTATAACATAATCGCGTAAAGTTCATCGCGCTCCAATTGATGACCTTTTGCAACTTTGTGACATCCTTAAGATATTTTTCGAAGATCGCCGTAAGAGGACAAAGGTTCGTCTTTCGTATAACCCTGTGAGACGGACGGGAGTATTACTACCCGGAGTATTCCAAGCATCCCCAAGATCGGACTTCTTTCGACAACTGTGCAAAGTACAAAGGGGATGCAATACTCAGGCATCGGATACCGTCCGGAATTTTATGACTGATCTAATCAATGAAGGGTCTAGTCTCTATATGTGCGCCGGATATCCCGCATGTTCTATGGCTCTCCACTTCCACGTCCAAAGTATTATTGAATTTCCAGACGAGAGGGACTAGACTTCCGTCCTGAGTCGAGGTCGCGAGGGAACCTTTGTCAGCTTACACTGAATATCTTCTTTCGTTCATGGAAGTGAATGTCAATTGCAGATACTAACAATTGATCGTTATGCTCCAACTTGATAAATACATTCAGATATATAATAATTAATCTAGAAATGTATTAATTTTATAATAAAAATTATGGGCCATGAATTTCTTATGGAATATTTTTAGTTTATACGTAAATTATTTCATTTGATTTTAAAAATCAAATCGAAAAAAATATATGTGTACTGATAGAATTTAAATATATTTCTTTTTTTATTTTAATCATTATCTTAGTTTATACAGAAAATATTTTTCGAGCAAATTCTATAAAATATAAATTCCTTAAAGATATAATCGATATTATAATAATATAATAAGATCACGAAAATAATCTATCAAAACGATTTAGAAAAAATACGACGATTTTGTCAAATAGTTCCAGAAAATGTACACAGTATATCTTTCGAATAGGATTACTTATATAGTTGGTCATATCTTTTTTCTATTTCTAATGTGTAATCTAAATATGAAGTTCAATTTGATGAAAGATGTAAATTTATTTTATTGTCATTATTCTAGAGAAAGTTTATAGTATATGGTGAAATATAAGAATATCTTAAATACACTTATACAGTTTCTTCATTTGCGAACCGCTTCGCAAATAGTTTGCAAGGTACTTGAGAATGCTTTCCCACTTTTTCTCCGCGATGTAAAGAACTGCGTGCACAGCCAGAGGTTTATTTTCTTACCGAATGTGCAACAATGTACTTTCAGTTGTTATAAAGTTGCGAAAGATATTAATAACAATTTCGCAACAGAGGATATAATAAGAAAAAATATTGTTCAAGAACACACGCAAATACCCCCTTGTCTGAACAATGAAGATATGCTCTATTAATGGCACACTATTGCAATATGTAGATTATAAGATATATATATGTATATTGCGTATTATGTATATTACGGCGATATCAGATACCGTGTCGACTGAGGTTGACATGAAACTCGGGAATGGTGCAGGGACATGAATTCCATCGTTAATGCTTAATTACGGGTAGTGCTTAATAATCGTATTAGCCTTCGGCGTATACTAGAATTTACATGTCGATCATTCCTCGATACAAACCCCGATGAAAAGATCTAATCATGTTACTTCCAATATTAGATGAAAAATACTCATTGTGAAGCAGGCATCGACCATACCTTGTTTAATTTTAAAGTTTATTAATTAATCGTCGAATATTATTTATGCACATGTGTGTACGCGCGCGCGCGCGCGCGTGTGTGTGTTGTGTGTGTGTGTATGTGTGTATCACGGTCAAAGTGTCGGTCAAGTGTGCTAATGTACACACTTGTGCATACACATGTACTAATATATGACTAGTGTATACTAAACATGCCTAGTACACACGTGTACTAATCATTGTATGCATTTATTAAAATGTATATCTACTGTGACAGACGACTCGCAATATTACGCTTTCATTAATGTGTTGTATGCATTGTCTATTAAATGAAAATACACGGAGAGAATTTTTTTTAATTCATCCTGAAAATGTGGTAGTTGTACAATATAATATTTTAAAGATTTTTACATGCACTTTAGTAAAATTAATGTTATTTTATATCTTATTATAGTTTTATTAATGAATGAGAGAAATTTAGGTAATATAAAATTCTTCAAAATAATGTTGATTCAAGACTACCATATTTTCAAGGTAAATTCTAAGAAAAATTCTCTCCGTGTACATTTACTAGAAATAATAGACATTTTTATTTGATTAATATTTTTACTAAAATTTTATGTAAATGCATACATTGATTAGTTAAGTGTATAATTTAAGCTAAATTTTAAGTTTTTACTGTGACCGTATATTAGATTCTTTTAAAATAAACTAAGGGCACAATTAAGTTGACATTTAATTCATCTTAAGTAATTTTCAATATTAAGTAACTCTTTTTATTATTAACAGCTCGGTATAAAATTCTTCATTTTTATCTGTCACGATCGAAAACAATAGCAAAGATCGTGTTATAAAGATCATGTGTCCTTTTTATCTACGTGCTCCACCACAAATTATAAATTAAAAAAAATTATAAAAAATTATAAAAAATTCAGTAATTGAAGCGCACGGCATACATCATGAAATAGATATTGTGTTTTCACTATCGAATAATATTTATCGTCGCGTTGATGCTTTCTCACAAGATAAACTCACGCGATGCAAAGCTTATATTCTCATCGCACGAACCAACATTTACATTTCTAGTCGTGCCGGTATGCCAGCACGGTCAGACGAAGGTATTCGGCGTGGCGCGACAGGAGACCGCGAGGATCCCCTGTGAGCTGGAGGCGAACCCGCCGGAAGTATCGTTCACCTGGAAATTCAATAATACAATGGAGGCGGTGGACATACCTCAGGCGCACGTCACGAGTGATCGTACTCGCTCGACAGCCTCCTACACACCAATGACCGAGCTGGACTATGGCACTCTCCTTTGCTGGGGTAGCAATGACCAGGGCACTCAGCTTGAGCCGTGCGTCTACCATATCGTGCCAGCTGGTAAGTGCTCGACCTCACTGCAAAGCTTCTGAAAAATTGCTTCGGATCTAACTCACATACATCTCTCATACTATCCTTGGAAGGCGCGCATTCCTCTCTTCGCTCTATAATTGATTTATTACTCTCTAAATCTGAATCAGTAGATCAGTCACTAATTACTCAGTGACACTGACATTTGACACTGACAATTAATGAAATTTAACTAAAAAAAGGAAAATTGTGTACATTATATAACTAAAATACTGATATATGCATATTAATTTTAATTTTCCAATATTATATTCATTGAATTTATGCACTAAAACAAAGTTAGTTAGATTATATAATAAAGATCAGCCAGGTTAAGGATCTCTCATTTCATTCATTAATTACCACTGGCATACTTGACATCATCAGTGGATATCAGTGAATATCAGATTATCCACTGATTCAAATTTAGAATAAAAAAATATTTACGCAGCGATCTCTTTTAGACTCGTTTATTCTTATAAACAGATTATATACCCTCGTGCTAATATTGAAAATAAAATACAAATGCCTTTTTCACGCTTGAATATAATTCGTGAAATGTGTCAATGCATTTTCTACTGTAATTGCTACGTAATGCATTTTCAACCAATTACAATGTAATTAATAATTCTGCAAAAATCTACTACATGCAAATTTAAAGTGACTTAATTAAATGATGCAATAAACGCAATTGTATTTTCTGACTTGACTTGTAATCGCGTGCTGCATTTAAATTTTTTGAATTGAACGATTGAATTGAAATACAAACATGTAAATTACATAAATTACATATACATAAATGATATGACGTTTAATATTTCTTGTTTATGACTCTGCAATCGCTGATATTAACATTGTCATCATCACCAGGTGAATAAATCAAATGGAACGAAGACAGATAAATCTTTCGATGACATCGCAGCTGCGACACAACTTTTTAGAGTACAGCAATCGATTTTAGTAGACGAATGTTGTTCCATTCTGAAACTCTTGAAAAGCGCGTTCGATAGATTCGATGCATTTACTCTTCTTGTCGTCGAAACACTATCAACATCCGGTGAATTATAAATACACAACGCGTTCTGCAATTCACTGCATCTTCATCGAATTATCGGTATTTCGATAAACCGGAAGGTGAACTCAATGTAACTTCAATAAATCAACGTGCTCTTTGAATTTTTTTTTGCTTGTAGTACTTTCTTATACTTTTCTTGTACTTTGAAATGTTCGAGGATGAGTCAGAAATTGTTACTATAAAGCTACAAAAACTAATAATATCTAAAATAAAGAAAAATGTTCGAGTAAATTCAGAGCTGCAAACCGATTAAAACGATATATTTATATTTGCATATTATTATTATTTTACATTTATTTGCTATGACTACAAGAGTTACGATGTTTTATAAATAAATGTATTTATATATTTTCTTTATTATAATACTATATTGCTGCTATTTGATAGAAAAATGACACAAGTAAAAAATTAGTATTTTTGAGATAGTGGAAGGAAATCGATCATAAAAACATTTATGATTTAAAAAACGTTATTTTATTTTTCTATCAACGATATATTAATACTGAATAGTATATTATATTAATATACTATGATTTATTTTAATAGAACTCTTTACAATCGCTATTTATATCAGTATTATTATATCTTTAATACAACCAGTGTAATTTTGCATTCAAGAGCACAGAAACTGTTTTCAGATACATTTATGAAATATTGAAAAAGTAGCAAATTATTGCAGCCCTTATTGTAACATTCTTTCGTATCAATATTTTCTATAAACGTTCGCGCGATTTTTTACGATTGATTTAAATTATGTACTTCGGATTGTCGTGAATTCGTGTTACATTCTTTAAATCAATTCAATGTAATATATAATAGTTTACCATAAAAATTGTCTACGTGTTCGAAACATGTTCGTGCAAAATGCATTGAAAATAAATATATTGCAACATTTTTATCACCGCGGAAAGCATAAAGATGCGCGTGCAAACGGGTTAAAGAACGCAAGTATTTTTACACACATGGCGGAAGAATCCGTTTTCCGCAGTAGGAAATATTCTTAAAGGTCCATAAAGATCGGGGTAGGTCGTAGAAGATCAGGACGTATCAATACGTGACAAACGCATTTTAGTACGTGGCTTGGTACTAAACTACTGGAACGTGCAATAAAAATCGTCATTAAAGTGAACGTTGCGTAAAAGGGACATGTCAATTTGAGTACCATAGTTGCTCGAACAAAAACGAAAATTCAAACTAAACTCGTATCGGCCGATGAGAGGCGATCAAATCTAGAAGCGCGTATGAGACAGTTGTTACGTCAGCAGTTTTTTTTTGTCTAAAATCTTTAACAATGAAAGTTTTATTTTCGTTTAAAATAGATACTTATTTTAGTTTATGAAGAGCTTTTAATAATGACCTTTAAATGTAATGTAATAACCTTGCATATATAGATAAAAGATTGGACAATAATAAGTGGATATATAGTATTATTCTTTCAGGCATTTGCGTGTCACATGAAATCAATTTTGTCAAATTTTTCTACAAATATACAATCGTAAATAATTTAACAGTAGGGAGAAACACTGTCTCTCTCTCAATTAAACAATTTCAATTTAAATAAATTATGTCTTTATAAACCAGATACAATTACGTGTTTAATTTAATTAACAGTTTCTACCACAAACGCTTTTCACCATCATGTTCGTTTGCGAATCAATTCCGTCTCGGCCAGATATTCTCTGTGGTATCATAGAATACCTTCCAAATTCGCCAATTAAGCATTCATTCATGTTCGCTAATTAGCCCGTTAATCGACACACAGAATCGTGCTCGATATTGACGCTGATCGCGCGCGAATCCAACAGGCCGCCCGGACACACCGCACAACTGCTCCTTATTAAATCAAACCACCGACTCGATCTACGTGGAATGTATAGAAGGCTTTGACGGCGGCCTACCGCAAAAGTTCACCATGCAAGTGGACCGTGAAACCGGGTCCAGCAAGAGCGGCGGTCCTACGACTGTCTTCAACCAGACGAGCAAGGTGCCCGTCTTCTCCGTCAGCAATCTGGATCCCGGCAGCAACTACGAGGTTTCCATTTACTCCACTAACGCCAAAGGTCGCAGCGAGACCGTGCATTTTCGCGCCACCACCCTGAATCTCCCTGAGAGACGAACAGGTGAGTCGTCCGGCCGCGAACAACTGAACTGAGAGAATGATCGATCGCGAATCGATCCGTGATTAAGTCGTCCTCGATGTACTTACTAGACGATTCATAAGTAAGCTTCGAACAACGCGAAACATTCCGAAATGATGCGGTATCATTAGGTAGAGACTGGAAGGATATTCCGGAGTTTTAAGCAGCTTTATGTTTCAAGTAGAGTTCTCTGTTGCAATAATAATAATAATAATAATAATAATAATAATAATGCTAATAACAGTATTAATAATATTAATAATTATAAATTAAGACAATAACAGTAAATAAATAAAAAATTCATATTTTTACATATCGTTTAGTAATATAAAAATATTTCTCAATTATTAAGAAATTTTATCCAATACATTGTTTTGTGGATCTTCAAGATATTTAACTTTACTTGTTTTATTTTAATTTTTATTAACAAAGAATTTTAAATATCGCGTAAATATTTCATTTGTTATCGTAATTTGTTTTGTAATTACGTTGTCCCTCCTCGGTGAAAGATTTTTTTCAATCTCGACAAATAATTTATCGAGACCACTCGTAGTTCGATCTTTCGATCTCGCTTCAATCTCGTAACAATACCGCCCGTATACTTTGCCACCGCAGCGTAAAACAAATGCGTCGTAAATGTATGCGAGAATATAAACGAAAAGTGGAATATAAAGGAAGCATCGCAAACGGATATTGCTTATGAATCGATCTAATATTTTGAGCACTGTTCGCTACGCTGCACGGCCTTGCATCGTAGAGCTCGTGTGAACATGTTGATCCTCTCTCTCGTGCAATAACATCGTAACTCGATTTCAGCGGCTTTTTGAGTGGCCGCATGAAAGTTCACGAGTATATTAAGCGCGCACGGCTCATAATATACTGTGCATTTGTGTTGATTCGCGCGGAGATCATCCAGACAGTTTGCACTAGATATTCCTCATTACCGCTCGGAGTTAGACAAACAACTATAGGATATATGCGGAAAAGTTTAAATCAGTAATAAGTTCATAATGGAATTCGATTTCTCTCCCTTCGTGACGGAAATGTAACTCATAATTTAATTAGAGAATAATTAAACAAAGTTATTTGATAAAAGAAACTGAATATTCATTGATGCTGATGACAAATGCATGTTTAACGGTAAATTAACACAATAATAAAGTACAAAAACGGTAAATTAAATTAATAAAAACAAACTATTGGATCTTCTTCTATTCTTATTCTATTATATATATTTTATTAATTTCTTAGAACGACTTGTTACATCTAAGATCTTTGAAAACAAGCAAAGTGTTTTGATCAAAACTACTCATAAATAATTTGATACACATAGATATAATAGATATACATATTTCAAAGAAAGCAGGTATTTAACTGCTTTGATGCGATTTTTTATTATCTTTCTCAGGTGAAAAAAAAATTGAAATAAGAGACTTTTAATTTAAAATGATCGAATAAACACTACAATTAAATTTCGAAGTTATACTTAAAATAGAAAGAATCCCATAATAAGTGGAAACTGCTTGAAAAGAACACTATTCTTTTTAAATCATATAATAATTCGTCATTTTGTGCAACTCAATATACTCTTAATAATACTTTTTATAGAACATTATTTTTATCATTTGTTCGCCATCATAAACTGATTATAATAAATATTTCGAAAACGGCGTTTATTAACTTTTCAAACACGAATATTATTCTGGAACGAATAATACCGAGTTTTGGTAATATAATACATTTGCAGAATATTCATGCATCACATATATAAAATTTTTTCCCGTATAACATGTCCTCATCTAAAACATACCTACATTTTTTTCTACGAGTTACGATGATATTGAATCCATCCATCCGAAATTCGCGTCTATTCGGCATTATGGCGGTATTATCTCTTTACTTCAATCAAAGCACACGTATGTCATGTAAAACTGTAAGCGTGTTAGAGTTACGTGTAGAACTGCATCGAAATCGTAGCAGGCATACATTTACAAAATGTACGTAATTAGATGTTTTATCGACACCAGCGCATGATCGCTCGTCGTCAATGACCGTTTCGTACCTTTTTATTTATTCATCATAAATATTAAGTAATATCGTCAATTCAAAGGTGAAATAAACAAGATAATAATAACTGCACGCATCAATATTATACACAGCCTGAAAAGATAAATGCATCTAATTTGCTTTTCTTTCTTTTGATACAAAATATTTGTTATAAATTTTTTTATTCATTAAAGCTCGTTAATAATTATTTATCGGCACAAACATCTATTTTACACGAATCCGATATAAATTACAATAATAAAAAATAAGTTCTTCTATGTATTTCCAAGATTTAATTTATCCAATTCTTCATTATTAAGTGTTTTAGTTTAACTAAAATTGAAATACAAATTACATGATTACATTGCTCTAATCGGAATGATGTTTAAAGGAAAGCACAAGAATTTTGCTATTAAGGTAGGGGGTGCTTTAGCTTGTGCTTCTAAATGCATCCGCGTCGCGGGAACTGTTTTCCGGTAGTAGCTTGTAACCCCATTAAACAAATTTCTCGGCCTAATTTAAGCACCAGCGACCCCGGGCCGCTCTGCCGCATTCTTCTAACTAATTGCTCACGATTAACCCATGGGTAGCACGTAGACAGACGTTAAGCGGTGTTACGCGCGTTAATAATGCGCGGCTAATAGGCGGCGGCTACAGAGCCCGTCAGCTTCGTCGTTTATCCGCTCTACTGCGGCCTGCGCTGCAGCGGATCCGAGATAGGGGTAAACCAGACTATAAAAGGCTTTCGTATTTCGCGTCAGCTGGCCCTCCTTCGTTACAAATCGCCGTTCTTTACGCTACTCTCGCCCGATTTATATCCGATCCCGCCGCGCCGCCTGAACTAACAAGACTTGGCGATACGTGCTGCTCTTGTAAAAGAAGAAAGAAGTCCGAAAGCGCTACAATTTCGATTTCATTTTCGATTCTACTTTAGGTGTGTATATTTCAAAAATATTCAAACTTTGTTCCGCGAATCGTATCTCGTATGAAGGAAAAGTTTATCACGAATACAAAATTTTTCTCATGTTACAACTGAAAATTGTACATAAATGAAAAGCAAATTTCTTACATTATTTGAAATTCGGCTTGGACATCCGGAAAAAATATACTTTGCTCGGGCAATGTAAAAAGCTTCATAGAACTGGATCAAACAACTGTATGCCATCGAATGGCAGCTTTTGAGGCGATAAAAGTGATAAAAATACGTGTACGGATCGGTTCATCTCGTTCGATGACTGGCAGGTATCGATTGCATTTTGACGTTTTGCATTAAAATACGTCGGTGCACTGCGTGACGAACGATTGGCACATTTCATGAAAATCCATCGGCATGATCGAGCTCTCTCGAAGAGATCAAGCTCATGGAAACGCGAGGATGCATTATAGCGAGCAATATTACGACTGATTAAGCTTCATTCAGGTATATGTCTTGACGATTCCTTGATGGATTGCCATAAATTATGAGCGAAAAATACCAATTATTTTCGCGATCAGTCTTCTCAAAAATATTATAAATCCAATTACAAATCCATTTAGGATCTTGTTTATAAAAAAAGAAATGAATAAATATTTGAACAAATATTTTGACTGATAGAATTTCAACTGATAGAAACATTAACGAACACAGTTATTTTCCGTCCAGTTGTTATATCAATTATTTCTAATAAATAATTTTGTATATTTTTAAATACATTAAAATTTAAAATACATTTTTAAAAATATACTTTAAATATATATTTTTAAATATATTTTTAAATATTGTATATTTTTAAAAAGTGAATCTACTTTTAAATTATTTCATTTATTGCAAGAAAGTTTAATCATTTTCATTACAAAATATATTCAAGAAGTATATATGATTGTGCAAAATGCGATGGATTAAATTAACTAATTGTTTATGACAACGTTTACAAAAAAGGAGTACATACTGAGAGAAGAACTCCGTTCTTTATGACTTTATATAAATCATGTTTTTCAATTTTTTTAAGATCTTAAATAATCAATAGTCTTGATGCGTTTCTTTTATCCAGGATTGAGAAAGTTACTTTCAAAAAATAATTCGTTACCATTATTTGTTATTCATTGAAAAAAATTCGTTAGCATTATTATTATTCAAATATACTGAATTTTTACAATTTCCGTTACTTTTTCACCAAATTTTGATTTTTTTCACAAATTCTCTTTTTTTAGTAGCATCCAATTATCTGTGTCGCTAATTGACCAGTTCCACATGAATTCAACATCTATAGTAGTTATGGTTAATTGCAATATGGCCAAATATAGCATTCCCTTTTAAAATTCGCTTGTACACGTTCCACACACATACGTATTGTGTAAAAGTAACGATTATATTCGTTACCCAAAAAATATAACTCATCGTACCTAATAAAAAAAGTACAACATTCTTATTAATTCATTTTTAAAAAAAATATAGTAACTGTAACAGCATTACAACAGCATTAATACGTTACTTCTTATCTTATTTTTATCACAATTCGTAGAATTCATAAAAAGAAAGATTTATCGCCTGCGAACTTTGAACTTTTTTTATGCACTAAAGATTCAATTTGACCATTTAGGGCCTTTATTTCCATTTGTTGTAAACTTTTTTTTAAATTAGAACTCACAAAATCGTGAGTTATAATTTTCAATAATTCGATTTTCAAATCTGAACAAATGAGAACATTTCTGTTTGTTCATCAGTCTTTTTTCAATTGCAACATGACACGAGCTCGCCAATTAACCCTAAAGTTTATTGCCCAAAATAAGTTTATCGGGCACCGTTATTATTCAATCGCAATCTTCCATCATTCGTTCATCGTGCGTCACATATTTTCCTTACTCGTAAAATTACTCTCGGCTTCGCGTTGCTGTCGGAGCTACCTTCGACTTCCCTACTCTCCGAAACCATCCCGCGCGCTCTCAAGTCAGTTAGACGAAGGCTGAGGCTGGTGTGTTGTGCCACTTCCGGTAGCAGGTGAGAGGCTGGCGCAACCACCCTCGCCGGAGAATTGTACGATCCGAGAGGAGAGCCAGACGACCGTACGGGTGAGCTGCGCCGAGAGCGAGCTCGACTTCGACACGAACACGGCCATCTACGTACTACAGGTCTTCGACGCCGACACCAGGCGACTACTGGCGTCCGCAACGAGTCTGACGCCGAGCATGCTCGAGGTGACGGATCTGCCGGTCGACAGAAGCCAATCCGGTCTCATGCTGTCCCTTAGGATCATGACGGAGCAGGCCATGAGCGATGCCACGGTCCTCTTCAGTACGCACTTTGTTCAAGAGGGTAATACCAATAAGGAGCACCACCGTTACCCAGGTAGGGCCCAGATAAACAATGGATCGTCCTACCAACCCGCCCGTACCTCCGCCCCACGCCCTATGCCCTCACCTCTACGATGGTGCTTTTACTCGAAAGCTCATCGAAGCAGCGATGAACGATATCGTCGTTGTGATCGAGCGAGCTATGAAAATTCGATTGCGTTTATTCTTTATCACTTTATACAATTCAAATTATTCTTTTATCAACCGATGACGTCTTGGACAAGAGCCGCATCGCGATCGCGAGATTCTGGAACAAACGACTCGTACTTATGTTCCTTTGTGTCTTGAATATACTACTCATTTAATTTTACATTATTTGAATACTACCGTTGTCGAATTCTTATTTTGAATTATACTTATAGCTATCACAAGCCATAGATATGAAAATCGCGATGCAAAAAGATGTAGGAATTATATATACAACGAAAAAAAGGAATAAGCAATTATTAGATCGCCTGCAATTTTTATTTCTAATTACTTGAAAGCCCAAGTAGTCCATTTACAATTTATTTTATTACATCCACTTGTTTGTAAGTGCTTCTTGTAATTTTAATTGTATATGCAATAATGATAACTTCTTACATACTTTATTACGTTACCATTCCTTCAGTTTTAACCAAAGGGGAATAGCATTTTGGGGAGTTAAAAAATAGTATTTTCGAAATTTGTAAAATAATAACTCGCAGCTATTAATACTCTTAATCGGATTAATCTTTTTTTTTTTATAATATTCTGCAGCTCTTGTTTCGGGCAAGAAGCTCGAAATCGCTTTAAATCGGTTTCATCTTTTTATGTTTTTACTTTTTTTAAATAAATTATTAAAAAAAAAGAGTCAACGCAAAAAGATATAAGTAAAAGGAATATTATTTTTTACAGATTTTGACCTTCTAAATATGATAATATTAACAAAAAAAACTCGGATAGAAAATTAAGCACGATGTATTTATCCAGATTTCAATATTCTTGTTTAATTTTCGAGGTATTCCTCAGACGCCACGAACTTTTTAATAACTTTACCGGATCAAAATTTGCAAACAAACACTATTTTTTTGCACTTTTTAGGTAAAAATTTATTCTTTTTTAGAGAATGTTAAAAAAGAATCAATTTTTTTTAATAAATAAGTAAAAGAAATAGTGTCTTTTATATTTAGTATATTTTGATTTTTTCTGGATATAAATAAAAAATTTTGGATATTATTAAAAAATTCATGCTTTTTGGAGAACACATCGACAATTAAGCAAAAATATTGAAACTTGAATAAATAATCATGTTTAATTTTCAAAATGTTCCCCAAATGCTATGAAATTTTTAATAATTATTATATCCAGGAAATCAAAATCTACAAAAATTATTCTTTTACTTACATCCCTTTTTGGCAAAATCCTTTTTTTAACCTTTTTTTTTATCAATCAATATTAGTTTCCTAATTATTTTCTTATGATCAATAGAAACTATTGTGACAAAGGCTTCGTAGAAAAACGTTTTATCCGAATCATGCAATACGTGCTAAAACGGACTAACACTCTACAGTGATTCGTTTGCAATGAAAATGCTCAGTTAGTGGAAACCACCCAACAAGTCAACACTTCGGCAAATTCATCACGAAGTATCTCGAAATTTGCATATTTGTTTTGTACACATACCGCAAGTTCTTTTTTTCACGTCTATCGAAGAGGCTTGAAAACTATCGAATTAAAGGCAATCACCAGGGAATCCCGCGATTGACTTGCGAAATACTGTTACACTGTTTGTACGATACGGTCAGATCTTGCATGCGCCAGATTCGTGTTAATATAATTAAAGCGCGTTACGTGACCTTCGTTGTAAGAAGATTTTGCTTGTTTTCTCAATTAAACTAGTAGATGTGTCTTGTTATTTTATATTAAATACTTATCACGCTTATATTTTGAATTTCCTTAGACTCAAACTTTCGCTTGCAAATTTTTCTTGCACGTATTCGTGAATGTATATTTTATTAATTTTCCTGTATTATGCATCATCACTTAAGATGCAAAAAGAAAACGTCTATGTTACATGACTTAAAAAACACTGCCGATATTTTTGCATGTTAATTAATTACTTTTTCTTTTTTTTTTTTTTTTAATATAAGGTTTAGCGAAGTAGAAAAAAAAAGTACAATTTATTAGCGATGTCACCGTTATACATTTAATTAAAAATGTTCAAAGAAACGACTCTTCAGTCATATTTAAATGCGACAAATACTTACTGCAATATTTAGATCAAAGAAATAATTTATATATCAAATTCAATTTTATTTAAGCGTGTTGATGTATTTGTATGCGCGTTTTGACAAGCATATATGATCATTTTCTCTTCATTTCTCGTTGCATATTAATCACATTTAATGCGTGACATAATATGAGATAAAAAAATCTAGTTTTGCTAAACATTTCTGCAATACGCGCGTACTACAGCAAAATATTATACAATAATACTAATTAATTATTTAAATACAATTAAAACTTAAAATCGGCTGTATTTTAAATATATTTCTTTTCGTGTAAAAATATTTTATCGGTTTTATATTTATTTTATAATCGTATATAAATGAAAAACTGCAATAAATGAGAAATATTCATTAATGTTATTAAATCCACATAAGTACAAAATTCATATACCGTTAAATCAACATGTCTCTATAAAATTATTTTTAAAAATACATAAAGTTATTATAAATTTTTCAATTTATTAGGTAGTATAATTTCGTATTCTACTCTGCGAAATATTTTTATAAGTTTAAGCGATGCTTCTACGTGTCAGGAGTGACAAGCATTATCATAAATGAATGTAGTAATCCATTATCTTCTATCGCGTTTATTAGTTTTTGCGATGACACTCAAATCGTTTACGTAAACAGTTTGTCCTGACTACACTAATAAATGACGTATTTCGTATCCGGTAACGTGACGCATGTACTCGATCTTTAAATGCGATTATGCTATTTCATTACACTTTTGTTACCAGTTATGGTATGTATAGCGATATTATGAACAATATCGATGAAGATAACTGGAGCAGATATGCTATCGAAGGTTTCGCCACATTTCTTGGCGGAAATCGGTTTATCCTGTTTATCGGTGTATCCCGCGAACGGTTAACCCGCGCATGAGAGAGCAAAGTCGGAAGAACTTGTTTCTAAGGGATACCGCTAAGACAACCGCTTATACGTGTAAATCCCGTCGAGGAGCATTTATCCAAAATTGTTCCGTGGCCAAAGCCTAATCTTCCAACTTGATTGTCCACAATGATATACGTAACATCTCATAAATATCATGAGAAATGTTCTTGACGTCCTTAAATGGAAATGTTAGAAACTAAAACTTGAATGTGCAGTCGGTCGCTCGAGTATACATTGATATATTTACTTTAATAAAATTTAATAAAATTTACTTTAATAAAATAACTCGACAATATTTCTATAAAATGCATCGAGGCATTTTGCTATTTGAACTTCATTATCATTTTAAGCACATTTATGTGAATTAATTGTTATTGTTGTTTTTATTTGTAATGTTTCCACTGGTATGTATGATTGCTAGACAACAGACTGCTATGCAATCAAATAATTTTAAGCTTCCCGAATGAAATAGATTCTGCGAGCAACATTGTAGCAACGTGTAGCACAAGGGAATTTCAGAAACAACGCTTTCAATTAATCTTTCGTAAATTAATAGATAAGGTCACCGAAAGCGGCTTAAGTTCGAAGACAATGAAGCTGCACGCACAAGTGACGCGCACAACGGAACGCGGCGTTATTGCACGAAGAGCTCGAGTCATGCACCAGAGATTTGTTCACATCTATTGTATCGTGAGGTGTTTCGTAAGACAAGTCCAGAATATAAATCCGGAAGATCTAATTTAAATTAATCTGTTCAAAAACAGCTACATTTGTCGCCTTATTTATTACTATGAAAATTTCTCATATATTTTCTGAATATTATACAGATTTCTTTATTTATATCTATTTTCTACAAATTTGTTTACTTGTATGTACAAAATGTTATATCGCAAGGCATGTTCGAGAAAATTGAGAAACCTGGTGCAAAATATGGATAAATATTATGAAAACGCAAATCAAAAAATATATTTGCGATTTATCTATATAAAAATAAATAAATAAATTTTTTTTTATTATTTTCTTTTTTATTATTTCTTACGTTATTTTTTATTGAATAATATATCCGATATTACAAAAGATGATGATCTTCAAGTTTAATTTTTTTTAATTTGGAAGTTTCTTCGTAAATAATCGTAAATAATCGTAAATAATCGTAAATAAAATCTTAGCCATGTCTACTATTTTTTTTTTCGCATCTTTTTTAATATTATTGAAATATTTTCTCTTGTATCTTATTTTAATACATGTATAAATTTGCAAAAAACTTTCGTTTATGATCACTCACTATTGTCTGTCCTTCGAATAAAAAAATATACCTAAAAATTCACAAATCTGATAAAATACATTTTCCACGCACGTACAGATGTATGAATTCAAATCGTCATTAGCTTTGTTTGATGGCCGCGAATGTTGATGCATCCTTGGCTTTAATATTACCTTAGAAGGAAGGGGTATGGAAAGGAAGGGATATGGAAAGGGCTAGAACAAGGACGAGAGCCAGCGGAGAGGCATTCATTTAACAGAGTTCGCGAATATAAGTGGGTTTTGATTAGCCTCAAACTTGAATATACCACAGGAGTTTAGAATGGAGTGCATTTGAATCCCAAATTCATTGCTAATGCGGTTGCATGATCTATGATGTGCGCAAACACTCGACGACTGCGTATTTGAGAGAGATTATTTTTCCATGAACCTCGATTTCGCCTGTTACGAAAATGGCATACGCGAATTTAACATTTACTGGAAAAGTCGCAAAGCTATTTTAACTTGAATCGAATTCTATAGGCTAAAAAAATCTACCTGTTAATTGCAGAAACGAGTTCAATTTTGTCGAGTTTAATTTTGCGCGAATAATCACACATTTCAAGCGAGAATAACTTAAAATATCTACAAACAGAAGAATGAAGCTTTAATAGAAGCTATACTATGAAAAAAATCGGGGTAGAATGTAGAGAATTTTAATTTGCCGTTTTATTTTTTATACGAGTAGATTATTCAGATTTTTAGCGATGCTCGGACGAATATTAATAGCCAGGAAGCAATAATTTCGGCGCGATATGATTAGATTATTTCAAAGATACAAAGGGGGAGGATGTTATAAATTCTCATTGTATTCCATAAATCGACTAGGTTGTGATAAACCCCAGGAATGCTACTACGTAGGTAGATTTCAACGCGAAGTTACCTTTACGATCGCGTCGCTGCTAAGAGAAACCTTATACGTGCATTTTTACAACCACATTTTTTTACAATCTATGCCATACGTACTCGCACACATATACTCTCTCTCTCTCTCTCTCTCTCTCTCTCTCTCTCTCTCTCTCTCTCT